ACCTTTCAACTCTTTTCACCCATGAGTGTATTTTGAATGTGGGAGAAATGTCAATAATTTGTGGCCAGAGTATATATGGTGTGGTTCTGTATCCCTTTCTTCAAGAGATGGAGTCCAATCTCTCTCCCTTTGAGTGTGGGCTGGCCCCAGTGACCAGCTTCTAATGAATAGAATGACAGAAGTAATGATGTATGACTTCAGGGACTAGGTTATGAAAGGCACCATGACTTCCTCCTCAGTCTTTCTTGGATCGGTCACTCTGTGATCTCCCACATCATGAAGTAAGGCTCACATGGTGGGAAACTGAGGCCTCATCTTGACAACCGTGTGGGTGAGCCATCCCCATTGGGTGAGCCATCTTGGAAGTGGTCCAAGATGTCAAGTGTTCCTATGACTCCAGTTCTCGCCGATGTCCTGACTGCAACTGCATGTGAGATTCTGAATCAGGAGCACCCAGTTAAGATGTTCCCAGATTTCTGACTCCCCCCAGAGCTGTCTTTGAGATCATAAACATGTCATTTGTAGTCTTATGCTACTGAGTTTTTGGGTAACTGATTACACAGCATCAAATGAGTTGGGAGGCAAACAACATGATTTTGTTACTGGTTGTTGGAAACCAAGGGAACAAAGCATTTCAAGAAGGGGGTGTGGTGGGTCACATCCAGCACAGTTCATCTTTCCAATATGATGAGTTTTGAGGACTGGCCTCTGGAGTTAGCAATGGAAGTCACTGGACACTGTGGCAAGATGTTGCAGGGAGTGGCACAAGGGCCCGATTGGAAGGGGTTCAAGAGACAACAAGAAGAGATATATTGGTGGCTGAGAGTGTTTCCACTCCTTTTATGGTTGGGTTGTAAAGGGCAATAGAATGTGGAGGAGTAGTAGAGATGCTATGGGGTCAAGAGAGGGTTTTTAAATATGTCATAGCCCATTTTTTTTCCTTATTAAAAAAATTTTAATGTTTATTTTTGAGACAGAGAGAGGGAGAGAGAGAGAGAGAGAGAATGTACACAGGGGTGGGGCAGAGAGAGACAGAGAGAGAAGCCCAGAATCCGAAGCAGGCTCCAGGCTCTGAGCTGTCAGCACAGAGCCCCATGTGGGGCTTGAACCCACAGACCAATAGGTCATGACCTGAGCTGAAGTCGGACGCTTAACAGACTGAGCCACCCAGGCGCCCTTAAGCCCGTTTATATTCTGACTGTTGTGACATGTGAGAGGGCAAAGAACTTCTGGAGTGATTTTCTTGTGTAGACAAGAGAAGATGGGATGGGTCTTATGTGGAGAGGTTGGCCTGCATTGGGAACAGAGAGAAGAGAGTGAGCCTGGGGTAAAGAAGGGGGATGATTGACAGGCGCAGCAGGACCAAATAAGCCTCATTGTTTTTAGTGAGTTTGGGTGCAAGGACACCAGCAGAGGGTGAAGAGTGGGCACTGGAGTTTGAGGGACCAGAGGACGGCATGGAATAGAGGCCTAGGGTGGAGACCATGTGGTTACAGGGAGACACTTCAGCACGATAAGTTGCTTTTCTCCGGCCACATTCAGCCTTAGGACAAGCTGCAGGATGGAGAAATGGAAAGCTGGATACAACCAGGGCTGGAGGTGTGCCAGGGGAGTTCAATGACAGCAGAGGGGGAAGAGGAACTGAGACTCTGTGCCAAAGAGTGATTGTGAGTATGGGCCATGGAATCCAAGGGAGAGGAAGGCACGAGTGAGGTAAGGGAGAGGGACGAGCTGGCAGGACTAGAGGGTCAGGGATCCCAGTGGTGTTGAAGAGACACCATGATCAGGTTGGCTTGAGCTAGAGAGACAGGTGGGGGCTGGCAGGTGGGTGCTCAGAGTTGAGACCAAGGAGGGGAGCCGCTATTCCTGCTGACCAACTGAATGGGAGGGTGAGGCAGAGAAGGGGACGAGATCATTGCAGGAGAGGAGGTCAGGAACCAGGTGGCCAGGGATTTGGAAGGATCATCTATGAGTCCAAATGGGCCTCAGCTCACCAAGCATTGTGACAGTAGCCATGGGAAGTGACAGTGAGCCAGGGGTTAAGACCGGTGAGAAGCAGGGGGGCTCCCGATTATATAGAGATGCCACACTGATGGACGTGGTCTACGGTACAGTCCGGTGGCAGGAAATCAGATTGTGGGGCTGCTTTAGGGAGGATAAAAAGGTAGGAGGCGGCAGTGAGGAGTGAAAAGGACCACCCCCTCCCCCGCCCCGGCCTAGTGGTGAAGGAGAGTGAAATGCCACCGTGGGCCAGAATGATAGAGAGAGCAGTGTTCTCCTAGGGGGCGCAGATTTCCGGGAAAGTAGGAAGGTGATGTTCAGAGAGGTTGAGCTCACAAGGGCTCATGTTTCAGAGGGCAGAGCAAAAAGATGTACGAATCTGGCGAAGAGTGGGAAATGGGGCTCATCTGATGAATTCATAAGGTCTTACTGAGATGCCATCCTGGGTGATGAGGGTGGACCAGGGAGCCCCGGGCTTTTGGGACTAGGGTGGGCAGGGAAGGAAGGAATGAAGCCGCAGGTCTGGGGGTCCCAGCACTGGCTGTGATGGAGGGTGGAGAAGAGGCCAGGAGTCTTTACAGGAGCAAGTGGAGATCTGGGATCTCGCTCTTTCCTGCCCAGGGTGGTAGGAGCTGGAAGGGGTGATTGGATGGAAAATTTGAGGCCCCTCTGCTCCTGCTGAAGAGATGGGCAAGCTGTGTGAGGGAAGTGGTGATAAATGGGCAAGAATTCCATAAATCCATCCTCAAGGATGAAGGGAGAGCTCCATGGAAGTCTTAAAGCTGGGTAACATCTGGACGACTTTAATGGACCAGAGAAACGTGGGGGAGGGAGACATAAGAAGCAAGTCTTTTTTTTTTAACCTTAGAAACCCAGGAAGCCTTAGGAATCGGAGGCGGGGGGAACCTCAGGACGCAGACTACAAGCTGGGGACTGGGGTTGAGAAGCAGTCTGGCTCCTAGCTTCTCTGCCCCCCCCCCCCCCCCGTGAGACAGCGTGAGTGGGTCAGCTGCCCACATCCTTTCTCCCTCCTCGCTCTCTCTCTCTCACCCGACAGAGAACCCACAGGTTAGTCTCTGACGAGGGTCTGTCACAGAGACGCCCTCCCAGGGCACCAGGCACCTTGGAGAAGGACACTGTGTTCCACCTGGGGCCCGAGTGAGTGAAAACGGAAGCTGCTTTGCCACAGCTGGTGCCTAGAACCAGGCTTATATCCCCAGGAGGACGGTTCAAAGCACCTTTAAGGAGACACTGAGCTGTCAGAAAAAAACGAAGCGGTGCTTGTCTTAGTCCGCTTAGTGGCTGAGACAAAAATGCCACGGACCGAGGGGCGTCAGCAGCTCTTATTCCTCACAGTTCTGGAGGCTGGAAAGTCCGAGGCCAAGTTGCTGGCAGATTGTGTGTCTGGTGAGACCTTCCTGGTTCCTATAGGGCTGTCCCCTCACCGCGTCGTCACAGAGTAGAAGGAGCCAGGGAGTTTTGTAAGGAGCTTTGTAAGGGCAGAATCCCATTTGTGAGGGCTCCTCCCTCAGCACCTTGGGAGTTGGGATTTGAACATATAAATGGAGGGGGGCACATAACAGCCCGTAACAACACCCTTGCCAAATCAACGCAGAGTCCACAAATCTCTGTAACACACACAGGGCCTCCAAGCTTTTAAATACCGGTGCTCTGCCAAGAAGCAGCAGAGGCTTCCAGAAAGTTCTGAGGAAAGACAGCGGTCAACGAAAGGAGAAAACGAAAGATAGAAAAAGGTATTTGGGGGAAACAGAAAACAGACAAGGCTTAAAAAAATAAAACACCACAACCCTCAAAAGGTAAAACTTTAACACTGCCCGAGAAAAAATGGCTTCGCCAAAGCAAACACGCATGTTGTAAAGGAACATTCGGAGCAGAAATAGACTCTTTAGACATTTTAAGGTGTGAGAGCATAAACGGTAAACCTTTGAATAGAAGAACCGGAATGCAACCTTGAGAAACTTTCCCAGGAAGTAGGAATAAAGAAAAATAGAGGAAGGACAGGAGAGAAAAGATAAATTTAGACGCTCAGTCTGGGAAGTCCGACACTGAGATAGTAAGTGTCAGAGACACAGCAGTCCTACGAGGGGCAGTGCCTCGGGTCAGACCAGGGTGGTCTCCACTGTGGAGCCTCCCATTCAGCTTGTGCAGGACAAGGGGGGCGACTCCTCTCCAGAGCCTGTGGCCATCTTGGTGGTTTCAAGGGCAGTAAGCGTGGTACATAGTGATGTGGTGATGGTGACTAGGGTGGCTGAACTTGGCAGAGCAGAGGCCCCCACCTCCTGTGCAGTAAAAATGCACAGACGTGTTGTTGAGAAAGGACGGATAAGGGGGAACAATCTAGGAGGTGGAGACCAAAGGCAGGACGCCAGTTAGGTGACTGAAAGAGTGGCCTGGGTACAGGTGCCAAGTGTTGGGGATTTGCAAAGGGGGAGGAAGAGGAGGAAGAGGCAGAAGCCACAGAGAGAAGCAGAACAGGTTGGCAGAGTGTGGCTGAGCAAACAGGGATGGAGAGAGAAATGCTGGGGGTGACCTGGGATCCTGGCTGAGCTGTGGGGCCACAGACAGGGGGGGAAGGGGAGGAGGAGGAGGAGGAGGAGGAGGAGGAGGAGGAGGAGGGAGAGGAGGGGGAAGGAGAGGAGGAGGGGAGGAGGAAGAGGGGGAAGGACAAGAGGAGGAGGAGGAGGAGGCAGGGAGCAGGAGGATGAGGGGGAGGCCTAGGGGAGAAGATGGTGGGGTCAGAGTGGCCCGCCGTGGTGGCTCCAGTTTGGTGGACAGCCACTGCACTGGTCTTCGGCTCCCATCCCTGGATGGTGCTGGCCCAGATGCCAGCTGTGTGTGAGCAAGCCGTGGGCCTGGACCTTGGGAGGAGGCCAGGCTGAGAAATCCTCAACACTGGAGTGAGGGGTGTAGCCAAGGGTGTTGGATCAAGTTCTGGGGGACTTCCGCCTTTTCTTTGCAAGGGGCGAAGGGTTCAGAGGTCAGGGAGGCGCCCCTGGGGAGCCTGGGGGATACTGGCCATCCTTCTTGGGCCCTGAGGCCTGGAGTCTGGACCGAGCTGGGTGCATCAGAGACCTCCCTCTGTGTTGCGCGTGTCGACTCCTTAAGGCCCTAACATGGGAGGGGCGAAGAAATACAGGAAGTGACTCAAACCCACTCTTTGAGCCTGTTGCCCTCTCCCCACAGGCTGTCCCCCCTTCAGCAAGCTTGCGCTCTGCCTGATGGGTCCCTGTCCCCACACCTGTCCCTCAGCCCCACCTACCTTTGCCTTGTGCATCCCCTTCTCCTTGGACGTGACCCTCCCTCCTGTGCATACCCTCCCTCTGTCACCGCTTGGGAAGGGGCTGTGCCCTGGGTTTGGGCAGGCATTCCTGGAAGGGCAGGCAGTGGGAGGGATTTCCTGGTTGGACAGGTCAGTGATACTGAATCAGAGGGGGAGAGGGGTAGGGGAAGGAAAGGAGGGGGAGAAGAGGGGAGGAGAAAACAGACGGAAACATGTGGACAAAGCATCTGAGTTTTGCAAAGACAAAGGTGATCCTGTGGTGAGCAGGCAGTCAGTGAGGGTCTAGTTTGGACAGCCCTGCTGGGGATCATTTTTCTTGCCTCTGTGTTCACTGGCTGATTCCCTGTCTGACCATCTGTCCAGGGACGGAAGCCCCTCCCTGCTTCATTCTCTCCCAAGCCCAACCCAAACCCACTCACCAGACAAGCAGGGCTGACAACACCACGCTCTTGGCCAGAAGGAGTCCACAGAGCACGGAGACCAGAGCGCCCGGGGCTGCAGGGTGACAGTGGAGGGTGCAGTTTTGTTGCCTGGAGAACAGAAAACAGAGGGGAGGGGAGCCGGTTGGGGTGGCAGCTCTCTGCCGTGGGTCCCTGAGCCAGGGCCGTGTGCGTGAGGGTCCCACCCTTGAACTCACTGTGAAGGGGCAGTGATGGCAGAGGAAGTCCTGGGGGCCTCTCTGGCTCTTCCAGTGGAGGACACACAGCTCTGGGTCTGTGATGAGATCAGGTCACGGGAAGCCCGGGTGGCCTGCGTGGAGGCGGAAGCTGTCAGAGAAAGAAAAGGAATCTGAGTTAGCTGGAGGGACAGCACATCTGTTCTAGCTGGCAGGAAAGCTGGAACGGGGACCTGGGCTGAACTGGGGACAGAAGCTCAGAGCCTGGGAAAAAACCAATTCTGGGGTCGGGACTGGGCTATGAAGTCCCATGGCTCAAGGCTAGACAGATCTATGGTTTAGGCTCTCTTCAGTGCCTGTGGAGGTGTTCTTGGCTCCAGGAAGAGCACTGGAATGGGAGTCAGGAGGCCGGGGCTTCTCTCCAAGCATGTCTATACGTCAGGAAGGGCACTGTCTAGCTCCGAGCCTCCCCAAGTGGGGAAACAGTCACTGTCTTTGAGTGGCTCTCGTCTCTGACATCCCTTCCCATTCTCATCCTTCTGGCGCTATTAGGGGGAAGGGGCTCCTCCCCGGGGAACTTTCAGACTGCTTTCCCACTCCTGTCCTTCCTGGTTCTGCCGCAGAACTCTGGGTCCCTCTGCAGACCCCACTGCCTCAATGATCTGGGTAAGTACATTTTATGGGGCCCCCTCTGGATTCTGAAACTTTTGCGAGCTCCCTGTCCCCTACTTCCCCTGCCCTGCCTTCCCAGTAAGACCCCAGACCTACCAGTGCTCAGAGCTCTTGATGGAGGCTGGTGGGAGGCCATCTCTGGAAAGGTGATGGGGGCTATTAAGGATGAAGAGAGAATAATGACTACTGGGGATGGGTGAGGCCCAGAAGGGAAACTAGTGCTGTCAGCCCCAATGCTGTGACAGGAAATGGGGACTCTCAGTGTCCTCAGCTAGGTCTATACACCCATCCACCCAGGATCCATGAAGGGAACAGCTGAGGGAAGGGCTGGGAGAGGCATGGGGGAGAGGGTACCTGATGTTGGGACATCCCATGGCCCAGGGGCTTCCCTGGAGAGAGTCCCAGGTCAATGGACATGTGGCCATGACCCTGTCCCACAAGGGCACTCTCTCTGAGGCTGCCCAGAGTGACTACTGGGAGCAACCCGTGTGCCCAACCTAGAAGAGGTTCTCATGACACTCAGGGGAAATTCTAGTCCTGAGCTACAGCGTGTGATCTGTGGGTGGATGCTGGTCCACAAATTATTTATAACCTGCCTGCACAAGGTAAATATAGAAATCAGGAGTAAGGATCTTGGAATTTATCAATCTGACATTGCCTCAAGGTCCAAGCATGTGATTAGTAAACCGGTCTGGTGGAACAGGATGTCAATCAGTTTAGGTACTGGCAAACTGTCACGGAGAGTAACACATGGGGCAGGCTGTGAAGGTTCGTTGCTCGACTATAACCCAAAAGTGTATCAAGACCTGAAAAAGTTATTTTTATAAATTTTTATAATCATTGACATTTTCAATCTTTCCGTTATGAATTTAGTTTTAAAAATATTTACTTATTTTGGGGAGAGCACAATCAGGGGAGGGGCAGAGAGAGAGAGAGAGACAGAGGATCCAAAGTGGGATCCTTTCTGGTGGGCTGACAAGCCCGATGGGGGGCTCGAACCCACGACCCATGAGACCATGACCTGAGCTGAAGTCAGAAGCTCAACCGACCGAGCCACTCAGGTGCCCCTATCCATTTTTTCTTTTAAATTAGAGTTTAACATGATTAGCTAATGTAGAGTAGTGATTAGTTAATTCTAGTACTAAATTAACAGAGAGCAAAACAAAGTCACTGAGCATTGTGTCAAGAAAAGCCCCATCTTTTCGGGATGTAGCAGTAATAATAAACCAAATGGTGATAGCAGAATTAATTCCAAAGATGCTTTTCCTTCTGAGATCATTCCAAAGGGTTTGCATTGGTTATGTCTGAACATGGAATCCTTCACTGTGGTAAAGCAGAACCCTGTCCACTTCCTAATCTCAGGAGCCCGTGAGTGTCACCCCACATGGCCAGAGGGGCTTTGCAGATGTGATTAAGGTTAAGGACCTTGAAGTGGAGAGATATTCTGGGCGAACCTGAGCTAATGATTAGTATTTAAGAGCAGAGAATGTTTCCCAGCTGTAGTCAGAGAGCAGTGCAGCTTGAAAACGGCTTCTGGCTTTAAAGACAGAGGAAGGGGGCCACAAGCCAAGGAATGTGTGGAAGCTGCTAGAAGCTGGGAAAGCTCTCAGTTATGCAGCCTGTGAGAAAATGGGACTCTGGTCTTATAGCTACAAGGAACTGAATTCTGTCCAAGACCTGAATGCGTAAGAAGTAGATTCTAAGAGCCTCCAGAAAGGAATACAGCCTGCTGCTGATACCTTGATTTTAGCCCAGTGAGACCCATGCCGGACTCTTGATCTATAGAACCGCGAAGTCATAAATTCGTGTGGTTTTAAGCCACTACATTTGTGGAAATTTGTGATGACAGCAACAGGAAACTATGGCACTCATAAATAGCATGAGGTTTGTAGTTCTAATGAATGGTGAGGCACTCAAACCCACTGAGTTCATTGTTGAGGTTCAGTGAAGAGGCTAAGGAACAAGTACATCATGAAAGCAAGTGACATTTACAAAACATTAAACCACAAGTTCAAAATGAGCTATTTGTTTTTAAAAGAGTCCTGAATTACAACTTTCTTCAAAGCAGTCAGTATTTCACCTAGTAACTCTAGAGTTCTGTGGGCTTCTTATAAAGTAACGCTTTGTGTTGCTAAGACAAAATGTCTACCAACAGCTGTCAAAACATCATCGAAAGACTGTAACAGAGGTGTCTGCTCTACCTTGTTGAGCTAGTCTGTGGCAAAGAAGGGAAATTAAATATCACTTTATTGACACATTAGCTCAACATACTCAGGAATTGGCTAATGAGGAGGAAGACCAACTCCTGGGAAAATAAAGTTAGCAAGGTGTTTTTCACGGCAACTTGAGCAAAATGCACGCACATCGCAAACATAGTTATTCTTTTTAGACTACGTGCAATTTGCACATGATGATAGGAAGGTATTCCTCTGTATCATTTCGTTTCATTGTCAAAAACACAACTAGCCCTGAGCTGAATAGAACTATGAAGGATTTTATTATCGACCAGCGGTTTGGGGCTCCAGTTTCGCGTCCGAGTATGTTCTGATAGCTGCTATGTGACAGGAAAACACGCGGGAGCAGTCCTTCAGATGAAGGAGCCTTGCACCAGAGTGTAAGCCAGTGCACGCCTCCTTCAAATTCTTGCTCTGAGAAAATATCAGCTGAGCTGCACACGTGCCTACCAAAGTGGGAAAAATCGTGAATTACATAAAGATGAACGCGTTGAATTTGAAATCGTTCTCTTTATTATGTGATCATGTGGAAACCCCTCAGAGTTGTTATTGTATGCCAGGTTGCACTGATTCATTACTGAGGGTGACAGTTCTGTTGAGAATGTTTGAGCTACGAAAAGGACTCCTACTATCTTGGCAAGATAGAAACCAGGTCAGTACTAACTTTTTAAAGATGGGAATCACATGGTCAGGCTTGGTTATATCACAGCTTTGAGGCTATTCCGTGCCAGGGAAGGACGCAACATATTTTTCAACGGCAAATGAGATCTAAGCGCCAAAACAAAAGAGGCTTAGAAGGATAGTTTCTATAAACTTTCATGACATGTTCTTAATTCGGTAACAATTATCAGCAAAATAGGTGATCTTGTCTGCAAAAGTGCTTGTAGAGAAACCTGGATAGTTTGATGGAATGTTTTGCATTTTATTATCTGTCCAAAGAAGATACATGATAGGCAATTCATAGAACCAGAGACCATTTTTTCATCAAAAGGTATTTCAAATGCAAACAGAACTCTATAAAATAAAATTTTGGAACTAGCCCCTGATGAAGGATCGAGGATGCATTTTGAAAATACAGCATCGCTCGCTTCCTTTTGTAAAAATTAAAAATAAAAATATTGAGCTTGTAGGAATTGATTTAGAATTCCTTCTTGGATTTCAGCTATAATGTTAACAACAACATCCATCACCCACATGCATACTTTTAATAATCAATGGGAACCGTTTTTATAACTGAACTTTTTTCCCCCTTATGTTTGTTCTGATTGTCTTTGTTGAAAAGTAATTTTATGTCTGTAAAATCAAATCAGCATTTTAGGCTTGTGCTTTGTATGTGTGTGTTTTTCTCTCGTTTAATTTTTCTAGTAATTCATTTTTATTGTGTTTTACCAGAAGATAGTCATTGATGGATTGGAGATGTTTTGAAAAGGTCCCCACCACTGTCTTAGTCTGCTTGGGCTGCCATAACAAAGTGTCACAGCCTGGGTGGTTTGGAAACAACAGAAATTTATTTCTTAACCTGGAAGCTGGGAGTCTGAGGTCAGGGTACCAGTGTGGTGGGGTTCTGGAGAGTTCCCTCTGCAGGCTATCATTTTACATGGCAGAAAGAGGAGGAGAGAGCTTGCTGGAGATCTCTTTGGTAAGGGCACTAATTCCACTCCTAGGGGCCCCACCCTCATGACCTCATCACCTCCCAGAGGCCCCACCTCCAAATACCATCACATTGTAGGTTAGGATTTCAACCCATGACTTTGTGGAGGCCACAAACATTCAGTGCGTTGCAACCACAGATGCTTTGAGAAGCTCTGATTCAGACTCATGTTGGCCAACTTGTTTGTAAAGGGCCAGAGAGTAACTACTTTAGGCTTGTGGGCCATATGGTCTCTGTTGGAACAGCTGCTCCTATAGCATGAAAATGGCCTTAAATCATATATAAACATATGGGCATGGCTGTGTTCCAAAAAACCCTTTATTTGTGGACACTGACATTTGAATTTCCTGTAATTTTTGTGTGACACAAAATATTATTTTTCTTCGACTTTTTCCCCCCGACCATTTAAAAATCATCCTTAGCTTTCAGACCAGAGTTTGCTGACCCCTGATCTGGGCCAGGAAGAATAGACAGACCAACGTGATACCAATATGGTGGGGCGGGGGGTGGTTTGTGGCCAGGGCCACACATTTACTGAGCACCTACTATGTGCCAGGTACAGGTGCCTTCTCTAAGAATGCCAGGCAGTCTCGGGCTCCCCTGTGGCCAGGTCATATGAGCTCAGGGTCAGAATGCTCCCATGATCTGTTTGGGCACCTTTGACGAGGCTTGTAAATCATCAAGACAGTGAGTGAGGGGTGTGTGTGTGTGTGTGTGTGTGTGTGTGTGTACATGTATTCAAGTCCCTGGGACACCTGTTCCCAACAACCTTCCCAGGAGATCTGAATGGGGGGACGGTCAGCCTGGCTTCATGACTAAGAAACTAGGAGGCACCCAAAGGGAGCCAGGGGACCCCTAGGAAGAGGCTTACCTGGAGACACCGTCAGATAGAACCTTATGGACTTAGAGACAGAGTTGCCGGAAGCATGGTAAATTCTACACCAGTAGTGTCCTGAATCTTCCTCCTTCAGCCCAGTCATGGTGACAATGAAGAGGCCGGTGCTAGGGTTGTCCCAGATTGAGAATCGAGAGGCCTGAGCCAGCCTGCGGGGACCGGAGCTGGTGACTAACCTGGTGCACTTGACCGCCGATAGCTCCTTACACCAGCTCTTCCTCTCGTAGGGCCAGCCCTTGGGGGGGTACTGGCATCTCACAGAAAGCGTCTGCCCCGCCACTCGGTGAAGTGGCTGTGCCTCTGGCACAGCCCACGAGCCTGGAGAGGAGTCAGCAGGTCAGGGCCACACCAGGAACTGCTCCTCCAGCAGCCCCGGACACAGAGCACTTGCTCCGGAGCCCGCGGTCCTGTAGTCCCTGTACCACCCTCGCCTCTCCTCCCCAGGCTCTCGCCTTCCTCCTCACCTGGGATCAACAGTGACAGGAGCAGCAGGGGTGGGAGCGGGGCTCTCTGGACCATGTGGCCGTTTCTTCTTGTGCTGGTGGTAGGGGACATGGGGGACGCTGGGGAGAGGGAACCTGGAGCTGGTCTGATTCTCCTCAGCTTTCCCAGCACCTCCGAGATAGATAAAATGAGAAAGGCCAAGGGCAGCTTGGGGAGTGGGAGACCCAGGGAGTGCTGACCTGTCCGCCAGAGGCAAGCGGAGGCCAACGGTGGCAGTTGTAAATCCGGACCAGGAGGGAACAGCCCTACGTGGCGCACAGCTCCTGGGTGTCCATAGAGGCTGCTTCTCTCCTCTGTGCCCCACTGCCCCTTCCCCCTCAGGGCCTGCCCTTGGGGGAGGAGCTGGGACAGCCAGGAGGAAGCTGTGGTCACGGGCTGTCCACTCTCCTCCCTCTGTGCACTGTCTCTTCTTTGCAAGACCCTGGCTTTGCCCTTCTCTTCAGGGCGAGCCACGCTGAAGGTGGGTGACCAGCTCAGGGGCACTTGGAGGTCTGTGCAAGACTCCACTAAACCCCACTGGCCCTGGGGGTCGTCAGAAACTTCAAGCCCGGTCCTGCCTGGTGGGTCACTGACATGTTTCCTCCCTGGGAGGCTTTGTGGGTGCTGGAGGGGAGAGGGGAGGGGTAAGAAAGTATAGGGAGAGTCCCTGGCAAAGGAAGGGAGAGTGGAGCTGGGGGCAAAGAGAGCCCGGCTGGGTGGAGGGACGGGTCAATGGGGGATGGAACACAGGAGCCTGGACCACCGGTCTCCTGTGAATCCTCGACTCCTGCCTGTGGGCACTAGAGCGCTGTTTGTGTCATTGATGCGTAGATAGATGCAGGGCTCCAGCATCTTTAGGGAACGACTTTTAAAAAATGACGCGGGCGCCTGGGTGGCTTAGTCGATTAAGCGTCGGACTCTTGATTTCGGCTCAGGTCACGATCTCACGGTTCGTGAGTCTGAGCCCCTGCCTCAGGGTCTGTGCTGAGAGAGAGGGTTCTCTCTCCCTTCCTTTTTGCCTCTTCCATGCACTCTCGCTCTCTCTCTCTCTCTCTCAAAATAAATAAATAAGCTTTAAAAAATGATGCAGTTTACAAAGAGGTTTTATATGAAACATACAAATGTTGGGAGAAAGAAGGGATCGAGAGAGAGAGAGAGAGAGAGAGAGAGAGAAAGAGATCAGGACCCACAGCCCTGTGCTAACATGTAACTCCACATGCGACCACCAGGGAACTCTACTCAGAGCTCATGCCTGAAGAGGGAATTTGAACGTATTGAGGGTGTTAATTCCAAGTCCCCTGCTCCCCTGCACCCCACCCCCCACTCCTGCTCTCCTCTCTGCCTGGGCGCAGAGCCCTGCTCCTGCAGTGAGAGGGGGCAGAGACTGAGGATAAGGATGAAGGGGCAGAAAGAGGACGGGCATGGGAGGCACCTGACTCTCTTTCCTAGAAACAAACGACCAGGGAAAAGCAGGATGGGGTTGTGGCACCGAAAGGACTGCTCAAGACAACGCCCACTACCCGTTTGCACCCATCAGCGCACCTAGGGTGTTCGTGTGTGCTTTCTCCTAATTCCACAGTGGGCTTGGCAGGGAGGTGTGCTTTGTTTTCCCCCCACGTGGGGAAACTGAGGCCCAGATGGGTCAGTCTGACCTGCTCAAAGTCACGTGATGATGTAAAGATGTAACCAGACCAGCTTCCTGACTTCTGACGGGGACTTTCTGTTGAAGTCTGGCCTGGGGACAGGGCAGGAAACCAAAGCGTACACCCTTGCAGAGGCAAGCTCCTGGCAGTTCGTTTCCTGGCGTTCAGTTGGGCTCAGTGTTTCCTCTCTTAACCTAATTACAGACAAAATGCGGGGGTGGAGGGCACCCTTTTGAGGGGGAGGAAGGAGGCTCTGGCCCCGGCGGGCGTAGATGTGTGTCAACTTGTGTGAGGGTGTGCAGCCACTGGTTCCCACACCAGTGTCCCCTTTGTCTGGTCGCTGCTGACCCCTGGGAAGGGACGCCTCCTCCTCGCAGTCCCCCAAGATCACTCTTTGCCCACATACCATTATGTCTAGGTGCCTCCAGTTTGGGGTTGGCTCTGAGCTGTTCTCTGCCGAGTCAACATGGGTCCGTGGTGCCCAAGGGAAGTTTTTGAGGAAACTTCTAAAGCTCTAAAAGTCTCAGTTTTTTCCTTTCTTAAATAGTTAACAATGGATCACTGATATGATTATTCTGGGAATAAATGATTAAGCCCTTCCATTTATAGAAGTGCCTGTTACATGGTATTAATGAATGTCTGCCATCATTAGTAATCAACATTCACAATATCATGTTTCCTTGACTTTTAATTATATATATATTTAATATATAATTCGATGTCTCTCTCTATATAGACATCAAATAGCAGTATAGCAAACTTCTAAAAGGAAATAAAAATAAAAGTTATGTCATTTAGAGTAGAACGTTCTTCTTTTAAATATATTTTTTTTAATTTTATTTTTTGAGAGAGAGAGACAGACAGAGAGAGCAAGCAGGGGAGGGGCAGAGAGAGAGGAAGAGAGAGCATCCCAAGCAGGCTCCACGCTGTCAGCATAGAGCCTGGGGCGGGGCTTGAACTCATAAACTGTGAGATCACCACCTGAGCCGAAAGCAAGAGTCAGATGCTTAAGTGACTGAGCCAGCCAGGCCCCCCTAGAGTAGAACTTGCTAATCATGGCCCCAATGCCAGAAACGAGATAGGGAAAAATGCTGGGTCATCCTATATACAAATTAATACTTGGACATTATAAAAAGATATGGCAAATAACGTTTAAAGGCAAATCACAACTCTGAGTTAAGGTTTCCTTCCTAATTGGCAGATACAGGGTTATTCGAGTTCATATAAAAAAAGTTTTTTAAATAATAAGAGAAAATGACTATTTCAATAGAAAAAAGGAGTGAGGTTATGAGCAAGTACTTCCTTACAGAAGAAATACAAATGAACCACGTTAAGGAAAATCTATTCAAAGCGGACATTGTTAAGACAAGGGCCAAACTACTCTTCTCCTCAGAGTGACAAAAGTTAAGAGAAATGATGACAACCAGGGTTGGGGGAATTTTAGGGAAAAAACAATCACCTATTCTTCTGGGCAAACATACTGACACCACCTTTCTGAAAGACAGTATGGGCGGGTTAATTAAAATCCATTTTGAAAAAGAAGTCATCGTGACTCAGTTCTACATCTAGGCACAGAAACCGGGCACAGTGGCTGTTGCAGTATTATTTTGTTTTGAAAATTCATCAAAAGAATGCACATACATATCTTCCAAACTTGTAGCTCTAAAAATTGTAGGTTTATAAACTCATATTAATAACAATGCATCAGTTTTATGCCCCAACAGTCTACACCCCAATCCTTTTCTTCCTAGAGAGAACTTTGTTTTTTAGTTAATTAATTAATTAATTAAATGTCTTATTTATTTTTGAGGGAACGTGGGGAGGGAGGGGCAAAGAGGGGGACAGAGGATCCCAAGTGGGCTCCGTGCTGACAGCAGAGAGCCTGATGTGAGGCTTGAACTCACAAGCCACGAGGTCATGACCTGAGCCAAAGTCAGATGCTCAACTGACTGAGCTACCCAGGTGTTCCCTTAGGGAGTCATTTTAAAGTATTTTTCATATTTACCCTGTTACTGATATTTCTCTATTAGACAGGGGTAGGTAGTATACATGAAATGTGCCCTGTGGAAGAATAAGGGATCCTCTCTTTCCCATCATGCTCCTGTCGGTCCCTTCCCTCACCTTTATTCTCCCAGTAGTCAAATAGAGTTACCGATAGAATTAATTTTTAGATTTTATATTTTCTGACCATGTACATATATTTTTCAGAGCCCAGTCATGTAGTTTATAATGATTACATTTCCTTTGTGGTACAGCTTTTTACTTTCTGTGAAGTTATTAGTTACCTTATTTTATTATTTTGTTAAAAAATTTTTTTTCATGTTTATTTATTTTTGAGAGAGAGAGAGAGAGAGACAGAGTGCGAGCCGGGGAGAGGCAGAGAGAGAGGGGAGACACAGAATCTGAAGCAGGCTCCAGGCTCTGAGCTGTCAGCACAGAGCCCAACGTGGGGCTCGAACTCACAGATTGAGAGATCATGACCTGAGCTGAAGTCAGACGCTTAACCAACTGAACCACCCAGGTGCCCCGACAGTTAATTTTTTTAATGTTTATTTTTGAGAGAGCGAGCAAGGGAGGTGCAGAGAGAAAGGACAGAGGATCCGAAGCAGGCTCTGTGCTGACAGCAGAGTGTCCGATGTGAGGCTGGAACTCATGAGCCGTGAGATCGTGACCTGAGCTGAAGTTGGATGCTCGATGGACTGAGCCACCCAGGCACTTCTGTTGATTGTTAATTTTTTTTAAGGACCAACAAATGGTGGTGGTTAGGGGCACCTGGGTGGCTCACTTGATTGAGTGTTCGACTTTGGCTCTGGCCATGGTCTCTCAGTTTGTGAGTTCGAGCCCTGCATCGGGCTCACTGCTGTCACTGCAGAACCCACCTCAGATCATCTGTCCCTCTCTCTGTCCCTCCACCACTCACAGGCTCTCTCTCTCAAAAATAAATAAACATTAAAAAAAATAAAAAAATAAAAGGACTAATAAATGGTGGTGAGACAAATCCATAGAAAGAGGAATTTCCCTAATTATGGCATCCTGGTGATAAAGGTGACCACAAACAATGTCACTATAAAATCATATTTTATAATTGCTTATTTTTTGTGAATACATGTGCAATTAATTTTTGTATGTAGATCTTCTGTCTAGCTAAAATAATAATCTATTATTTCTAATAATTTGATTATACATTTATGATTTGTTATGTATTTAGTTGTAACATAAATCAGAAATTTACATCAGTGCAATTAGTGTAAATTTAAAATGCATATAATGTTAAATATTTTATAAGAACATATTTATATTTAAGTATGCATACATATAAAATAGATAACATAAACTTATAGTGAAAAACAAGACTGTCCATCCAGAAAGAAAAAATTTGAACTAAAATGAAAT